TCTGCCGTGTACCAGGCACCATGTTAGGCTCTGGGGGGACAAAGACCAAGATGGGACAGTCACTGCTGTCATTCTACCAAGGACGACCGCATGTACATAACTATATGCCAAATGAATAAACAGTGAATGGGGAGAGGGAGGAAGGGTTCAGGAAAGGCTTCCTGTAGGAGATGTCACCTCAGAAGAGTTCTGAAGGAAACGAGATGCTAAGAGGTGCAAGTGAGCTGGCAATGGGTATTCTGTCCATTAATCCTTTTTCCATTTGTTATTGTTTGTTTGTAGGGTTATAATTTCCCTATGATGGCTGTGTTGGCTGGGTCCCAGAAATTTTGGTATGTTATTTCATCATTGTCATTTTCTTTCACACGATTATTGTTTCTATAATTTACTCTTTTAACCACTCATTACTTAGGAATTCATTATTATCTCCATTTAGGTCTCTCTCTTTTAATTGTACTCTCCTGATTCCTATTTTTATTTCATTACGGTCTATAGCATATGTATTGACTATTTTTGCCTTTTCATATTGGTTTGTAATTTCTCCTTGCCTTAATAAAAGGTGAGTTGTCACAAAAGTTTTCTGTCATACACGACATAAGTGTATTTAAATGTGCACTTAGGAGATGCCATAATTCTTTTAGCTATTGTTTCTTTAGCAATTTTCTTTTCAATTATTTGTTTTTCTTTTTGTTTGTCTTGCTGTTGGACTTATCCAATGCTGAGAGACGGACATTGGAATCTCCTGCCACCGCTGCGTTACTGCCAATGTCTCACATCACTCAGGTAGTTCCCTTTGTGAATTTATAGACACAGGCATTTGGGAGAAATAAGTTTGATACTGTCAATACTCTGTTGTCTGTGGTCCCTTTCAGTATAATGTAATTTCCTTGTTTATCCTTTTACTATTTTGAACATTTCTTTTTTACTTTGTCTGACATCATCCCATGATTGCATCTCATGCTTTCTAAGATTTACTTTATGCAGAATGAATTTTTGCCTTCCCCTCCCTCATTTTTCTTTTGTTCATGTCTTTTTTTTTAATGTGCTTCTATAAAGAATAGATCATGGGTTTTTATCTTTTTATTCAATCTATCACTCTTTTTCATTTTTTTGAATTGCTTTATCTATTCACTTTTAAAATCACAGGAGCTTTATATTTTCTGCCATTTGTCTCTTTTTTTTCCAAATTAGGATTGATTCCCCTCTTCCTCTGTAAACACAGTATTGAATTTCTTTAGTTAGTTTAGCTTAATCTTTTTAAAGTTGTCCATATTCCCCCTCTCTTCCTTTCACTTTCAGACCTTGTTTCCTTCTCAGCTGTTATCTTTTTCCATAGTTTTGGAGTTTTTGCTTAAATTATTAGTTCCTTTTCCTTTCTTGCTTTTATCTAGTTATTTAATTCTTCTATTTTTTTCCCCTTCCAGGTAAGCAGCCAACTTTCCTTTCTGACCTTGCAACTTTTTTTTTTTGGTTGTTGGTTTTAACAATTTATTTTATGGGCCTCTTTCTAAAAATAATTTATTTCATCACGTTTCATCCTCCCTTTCTCTTCTATACTTAATTCTTTCGTTCATGACCCTTCCAGTTACTTAGTCTCTCTTCAGTTCCAGTATTTTCAGCTCTTGTCCTCTACCTCCCCTCCCCTCCCCCGCCTTCTTGTTGTGACTCTCTAAGAAATGCCAATTCCTGCAATGACAGAAAGGTAGGAGTTTTCCTGTATCCTTGATGGGGAAGTTCCTTATTGACCTTCACTCCCCCATCTGTCTTGAAATCTCCCTCATCCACACCCTCCCATCCTCCCAGGAGCTTGGATGATCCCCACTCTCCTGAGCCAGAATGAGCTGTCTGTCTGAGCCCCAGATCCCTGAGGATGGCACCCGTCTTCCTCCAGAACTCTCTCTTCTCCCAGAAAAGCCCTTGCCGTGGTTCTGTCTCTCGCCATCCATCCTGACGAGACTCCTCCCTTTTCTTTCACCCCTGCTCCTTGCTCGTAGGCCTTTGGCTTGCTCAGGGTGCAGTGGAGACTCCTCTGCCTGCTCTGAGGGGCCATTCTGTTCTGCAGCCTCACTTCTCCTCCTCCTCGGGGCAGCCCTCTCCTGGCTCTTCACTGCCGTCCTGCTTGAGCTTCGGCTGTTTGCTGGGTGGTCATTCTCTGGGTTGATGTTGGAGGAGTCGCTGTGGCGACAGCAGCCATTCGGGTCAAGCCTGCCCAGACCTCGGCTGAGGCATTCGCCTTCCAGACACTGCAGCTAGGCCCTTCCCCAGGCCTGTGAGAGATGACTGATGGAGGCTCAGCAGCCCCATCTGCTAGGCCTCACAGCTTCTCCATCCTGGGGGGGGATCACACAGGCCTCGCCAGGGGAGCTCCGTTGGGGTGGCAAGGGAGGGGCTTTGTGCCCTTCTTTTCTGGTTCCTCTCAGCTGGTTTTTCCTCTTCTCAGCCTGAAAAGCATCTCTTGCAGAGAAGATACAACAGCACAGAGTTGGGGAGTCCTCCCTTCTCCCTTCTCAGTCAGCCAGGGGCCTGTGTTCTTTCTCTTCTTTGACCTTCCTCCAGCCCATTTCACAGATTACAAAGGGCATCAGCCATGCTTCAGGGCCTCTGTCTATGGTTCACTCTGGCACTCTTGGTGTCTCTCCTACAACCTGGATGTCTACAGGGCTCCGGACAGGAAGGACAGGATGGCTTAGAACCTCAGGAAGTGTGTGTGTGTGTGTGTGTGTGTGTGTGTGTGTGTGTGTGTGTGTAGGGGGAGGGGCAAAGGCAGGATGGCAGAGGATTAGATTTCAAATCCTGCCCCTATGATGACCTGAGTGACCTTAGTCAAGTTCTTTATCCCATCTGAGCTTCATTTTTCTCATCCATTAAATGGAAACATTTGGCTAGATGGCCTCTGAAGGCCCTCTGAACCTCTGCTGAGGCAAGGCCCTGCGAAGGACATGTATCCAACCCTTTGCTTTTAGAGGGTTTGCAGACTGAGGCCTTGAGAATTCAAATGGTTTGCCCAAGGTCACCTGGGAGTAAATGACAAAGATTTGAACCCAGGTTTCTTAACTTCAGCTCCGGACATCTTTCTACTTCACCATAGTATCTCTGATTTTCACAGCTGAGTTGTACTGTATGACCTTTATAAAGGTGCATGGTGTGTGTGTGTGTGTGTGTGTGTGTGTGTGTGTGTGTGTGTGTGTGTGTAGTAGTAGTAGTAGTAGTAGTGGTAGTAGTATTACTACTACTACTAGTAGTAATGGGGGTGATAGTAGTAGTAGTAGTAATAGTGGTGATGGTGGTGGTAGTAGTAGTGGTAGTGGTGGTGGTAGTAGTAGTATTAATAGTAGTGGTAAGTTTAACAAGCACAGGGGGCTTCCTCAGTGATTGTGACAGTGGGGCCATAAGGTGGGTGACACTCAGGGGAGCATCCAGGGGTCAAGAGATACATGACTGGGTCACCACGTGCACGTGCCTTCATGCACTGTGTGTGCTGTGGTCGTGTTGACGCCTCGCCTGCTACCTTCCCATTGTCTGGGGATCAGTTTTCCAAGGCTGGATGAGCTCAAGATGACCAGGCCTTCCTGGCCCAGGCTGAGGCTACGTCTCTGATCCAGCAGCTGCTGGAGACCCCGAGCCACCAGCCTTGGATTTGGATGGAGTACCCACTTACAACAACAAAGTGGTGAACTCCATCATGCAACTGTGCTTTCTTGGTTCCTTTGGACTCCCACTCCCTGATTTGTTTCGTCTGTGTCATCCGTGCCTGGGTCCTCAATGTTTCCTTTTAAAGAGCTGCTTCTTTCTCTGTCTCTTTGAGCCTGGGACCCCCCTTTGACTAGAGGGCCTCTGAAAGCCCTCTAACCCTGATTTCTTTGACATCTGCTCTCCTGCGGTCCAGGGTACACAATCATTTCTGCATTTGGACAGGTCAGAATGTCCCCAGGGTGTCCCTCATGCTTTAGGGGCCAGAATCTGGTCCAGGTTTGTACCCAGCTGCCTCCCTCAGTGTCGTTTCCATTTAGAAAGAGGGATTTATGAGGAGGTCAGTGAAGAGATGGACCATATGCTGACTCAGCCTTCTCCCGGGATGTCTCCCATCCCTGGAATGCTCCCTTCACTTACTTCCATCTCCTGGAATCCCCAGCTTCCTTTGCTCTCGGCTCAACAGCCACCTACCTACTCATGCCTGTATTTGGAACTATGCTATCGCCCCCCAAATTATTAGACTATGTGTACCCCAGCAGTACCACTCCCTGTACCCAAAGAGACTGAAGATGAAGCACCCATGTGTGCAGAAGTGTTTATAGTAGCTTTTTCTGTAGTCCTTGTTGTTTGTCTTTCTTTGAAGAGGACCAATGACATCACGGGGCGATGTCTTGACTTGTTTGTGAATTGGATTTCAGTGACGCAGAGTTGCACAAAGTGGCCAGCTGCACTGTCTCTTCCAGAGTCATTGAAGTCTGGGGGCAGGGCAAAAGTCAGAATGACTGGGGGTGGCCCGGGATGTGGTGGGGGACCTTGGTGTCATCCATGTCTGACCAAGCTGTGAACTCTCCGCAGCGCCTGCTTCAGCCGCCTTCGTGGCCATTGGAACAAACTGTTCTCATCCACCCGTTCTGCCAGGGGAGGGCTGCGTGTCTAGGTTTCAAGGGTGGTCTCAGCCTAATGGAACATTAGTACAGATTTTCATTGATTGCACAAATGTTGTGTGGGTACATAGATTATATGTAACAGCAGAATAGGAAACTATTCAAATGTAACTCAATAGTCCAACCAAGGATATGATTCATGAGTATGTGTATGAATAAATGAAACTATCACTGCAACATCTTTTCAAAAAGGCTGGGTCTTGGAATTGAGCCGTCTGCTTTTTTATTCAATAGGTAAAACACCACATACCTCATTCACCACATTTTCTCTCTCTCTCTGTCTTCCTCTCTGTCTCTGTCTGTCTCTGTCTTTCTTCTCCCCCTCTCTCCCCCATCCCTGTCACTCTCTGTCCCTGCCACACCCCTGCTCCTTTCTCCCCTCCCTCCTTCTTCTCCCCATTCCTCTCTCTTCCTACTTCCTTCCCTCTGATGGTGACTAAACTAGACAAGCTTGCCCTAGGGCCCCATGATTAGTGCTCTATATTTTATTTCTTCTCCCCTTCCTGACTTAGGCTACCTCTGAGGGGGCTGGGGAAGGGTACACTGGCTATGATGGTTCCAGACTTCTGTACTTCCTTGATGTGGAACATGTTGTCATCAAAGAAGATGTGGGGCCGTATTTTCACCAAGATGGGCCCCTTGGGAACCCCTGCCAGGAAGAGAGCCTCATCGATCTCGAGGCCCCAGGCATGCAGTGTCTTGAGCACACGGGCCCCTGAGCTGGCGGCGCTCCTGGCGGTGATGAGGTAGGTCCTGATGGGGCAGAGCAGCCTCTCATTCTTGGCATAAAACTTCTTTTGCAGCCGCCCTAAGTCTTCTAGGAATTGTTTCAAGGGACCCTGGGAATTGAACGGACAGTAATGATGAAGGGTATTTGGAAGAACTCAGGGAAGTCCTAGATGCTATACACAAATCTTAGACCTGGTTTTTGTTCATGGGTTACATACGCAGGGCTCACGGTAGCCTGCTGGATCTTTCTGTGCCTTGATTTCCCCCATATCTCCTTCTTCATATGGTGATGAGAAAAAGGATATATCAGAAGCTCAGAACCACTAACCTTTGTGGACATGGCCTCCAGATCCCATAGTCCCCTGTGAGAGATGAATGTTGCCTCTTCCTTTGTGACTCCTTCCCTCCCACTTGTGATGTATAGACCCCAGAGCCTGGCTTTCCAGGCTGTCTCCTTTCTGGCTCTAATCTTGTCTCCCCTTCACATAGTTTGCATTTCAGGTACACGGACTCCTCTCTATCTCTCCTTCCTTTCCTGTGCTCCCCCTGATCCTTCATGTCTGAAGTAGACCTCCCCATCAGGATTTTGTGCCTAAGACTTGAGGCAACTTCCAGCCCAGCCCAGCCCAGCAAATGAATCCTCACCCAGGGATGCAGAAGAAGACGAGTCCTTGCATGGGCACAGAGTGTATCTGGCCAGACTGCCCAGGGAATAAGACTTGCTCCCTTGGAGCTGGGTCCTCTGGTTGGAAAGGTCAATTTGGATGCACAGGAGCCCTTGCATAAGAAGGGGTCACCTGGGGAGATGGGCGGAGATGACTCTTGATATCTGGTGGCTGCCTGCAGAGGGGTGACTACACGGCTCTTTATCGTCTTTCTGAGCACTGCAGACATGTCACCTGGGTGTGTGTGCAGACCGCCAGGGGGCTTCTCGAAGTGATTCTTATAGGCACAGAGCCTACTGGTAGAAGCAAGGCTGCCATGGTACCTAGCATGGTGCCTACAGTATTCACCATTATGTGGGAAGCGGAGCCAAAGATGAGGGGGTCTTGGAGAAGAATGGAGGCTTTCAGAAAGATGATAAAGAGCTGTGTAGTTGCCCCTCTGCAGGACAGACCCGGGAACAATAGAGGGGCCTGGAAAGAGACCAGTGGATGCTTGTGGTCAGGTGGAGAAGACATGGCAGGGGAAGGCTTCCTAACAATTAGAGGTGGGCAGCAGTGGAGTGGGCTGCTTCAGCGGACAGGTTCTCCCCTGTTGTGGATCATTAAACAGGTCCGGAAGAACCCCTTGTCAGTTAGGTGAGAGTGCAGATCCCTTTCAGGGGTGGCTTGGACAAGATGGCAGTTGTGGTCCCTTCTTACTTTAACATGCTTTCATTTTCAGCTTCTTTTTAAGAGCCTGGAAGCAAGAAGGCCAACTCTATTGGAATAATGTAGACTAGAGTGCCTGAGAGTCTGGCACAAAGTTTGATCTGTGAGAGTGGAGGGAAGGGAACAGATGAGGGATAGTATGGAGGCAGATTTTGCAGACTTATGATACAGAATGCCAAAGGAGAGGAAGAAGCCTGGAATGGCAAGGTGGCAATGCCCTTCACAACACAGGGAAGTTGGGACAGATTGGTTTAGGTAAAAAGATGATGTGTTGCATTTGATGTTGAGTTTTAGATGCTGGCAGGACATCCTAGTACAATCAGCTGGAAATATGGGACTAGAATTCTTATGAGGAGTAAGAGTAAGATGTATGGATTTGGGAGGTGATAGTTAAAGCCACGAAGTTGGGGAGATAATGAAGGTATGGAGGGTAGAAGGAGAAAAGTACCCAGAACAATGTTGGGGGAGGACACCCACATTTAATGGGGAGTGGGAGCTGGAGGATGTTTCAGCAAAGGAGATTGAGGTGAAGTGTCAAAAGAAGTGAGAAAGTCCAGGTAGAGGGGGTGATCAGCAGTGTAAGAAGTCATTGAGGTGAATGGGAATTCATATTGAGAAAAGACTAGCAATGTTGGAATCATTATTAACCTTTAAGAGAGGAATTTCAATAGAGGGGAAGGGTCGGTAACCATATGGCAAAGGAGGGAAAGGGAGTGGCTATTGAGGAAGTCATGACAGCAGGAGAAGATCATGTTTTCTGAAGTTTGGCAATGAAAGAACAGCAAGGAAGGCAGGGCCGAGTGATAGCTTGCTGTTTACCCGAAGGGCAGGAAAGCTGAATAAAGGATAGGGTGGATAGTAAAAGAGATATTTTCCTGGAGGTGGGATGGGATTAGATTGGGAGCCCAAGAAAAGGTGTTATACTTGATTAGCAGAAGTGCCACCTTATCCTGAGTACATAGATCAATGTAGAGGAGAATAGGTTTAGGTGGGGGGAGAGAAAAGCAGAGACTCCTGAGAAATGACCTCTAGTGCCTTTGGCAGAACCTTGTGGATGGGGCAGGATCCAGACTCGTGGAGGAAATGCCTATGCCCTCACGGTCCCTGAAGTGTCGAGCCAGGAGCCTGCTTGAGCTTCCCTCAGTGGGCTCAGCCTCTGAGAATCCTGGGTTAACTTCCTCATCCAGATGAGGATTTGGAACAGCATCCTTAGATGTAAAGTGAAACTTGGTCTTCAAGGAACTCACAGTTACTATGAAGAGATGACCTCGTGACATCACAAGACAGCAAGGAGGGCCTATAGGCAAAAGCACACAGGATAAACTGGCAGAGATAGGCCAACATCTGCATCAACTGAGGGGACGTCTACTCGATAAAATTCCAGATGTAGACGAGCAGGAGTCTCGTAGAACAGCCTACACATATGAGATTGAGGAGGACAGCAGCATGGACCGAGGGAGATAAAAACGGTGTGTTTTTATCTGTACTTGTTTTCAAACAAATATTGACTTTCCAATATATGCCTACTTCTTCCCTTCCCAGAAAGCCATTTCTTGAAACGGAGAAAGAAATAAAGGAAGGGGAAAAGAAAGAGAGACAGAGAGAGAGACAGAGACAGAGATGAGGAGATGAGAGAAAAGAGCAGAGAGAGAGAGACAGAGACAGAGATGAGGAGACAGAGAGAGGAGAGAGACAGAGAGAGATGAGGAGACAGAGAGATAGGAGAGAGAGACAGTGATAGAGATGAGGAGATGAGAGAAAAGAGCAGAGAGAGACAGAGACAGAGATGAGGAGACACAGAGAGACAGAGATGAGACAGAGAGAGAGAGGAGAGAGAGATAGAGATGAGGAGACAGTGATACAGAGAGAGGAGAGAAACAGAGAGAGAGAGATGAGGAAACAGAGAGAGGAGGGGGGAGAGAGAGAGAGAGAGAGAGAGAGAGAGAGAGAAAGAGAGAGAGAGAGAGAGAGAGAGAGAGAGAGAGAGAGAGAGAGAGAGAGAGAGAGAGAGAGAGAGAGAGAGAAACTCGTTTAGCAGAACTACCAGCTCATTACCCGGTCCCAGTGTTTTATTCCCGGTCCACAGGACTCTTGCTGCTGTCTCTCTGGAGGGCCCACGTGTGGGCTCTGTGATGTTGCACGGTTCCTTCCTGTTTTGTGTTGCCGTTGCCATTGTTGCTGCTGTTCTTCTTCCATTTCCATGGCCATGGGCACTGTGTGTATTGTTGTCTTGGTTCCATTTACTTCGCTTTTTATCAGTTCATATGAGGTTCTCGATGCTTCTCTGGATTCTTCATAGTCATCCTTCCTTACATTTTAGTAATATTTTCATTGCCTTCACAGACCACAATGGATTTATCCATTTTCCAACAGATGGCCATCTACTTTCTTTCCAGTTGTTTTATGCTACTGTAAATATTTTGATCTCTATAGAATCTTTATTTCTGTCTTTCCCTTCTTGAAGTAAAAGCCTAGCACTGGGATTTCTAAATCAAAGGGTATGGATATTTTAGTCACTTTCTTTTGCTGTATCTTGTTATAATTGATCATTGAAAAAATGTAAAAGGGATTTGTAAAAATAAAGTTTAAAATAAAACCAGTTGTAAGTAACATTAAGATATAGTAAAGTAAGAAATACTTTTTTACAGATGATAAAAGTGAATGAAGAAGAAGAAAAGTTTTGGAGGTCCTTCTGTTCACACTCTATACAGGTCAGTTGAAGGAACTTGGTGTGTTGAAGCTGGAGAAGAACAGCATTAGAAGGACCTCTGCAAAATCTCCTCTGGTTTAAAAGGCTTTCACGTGGAAGGGGGCCCAGACTTATTCTGTGTCTTCAGAAGAAAGCACTAGAAGCAAAGAGGGGCCATCACTAGGGGACAGATGGATGCTGGACATCAGGTTAACCTTCTTAATGGGTTGACCCAAAAGGCAGTGGTTCTCCTTCTCTGGAGGCCTTCAAGCAAAACCGAGCTGAACAGCTCAGTGACCTCTTCTCCAGAATGCTACAGAGAGGACTCTTTTCAAGGTACATGTTGGCCTTGAGGGTCACAGAGCTTCCTCTTAAAATGCTGGAATTGTGTAATTTTATCAGAATTGAAAAGGAGGTATCAGGGAGAATCTCCAGCATGACCCATGAACAGGGATGTGGTCTAATTGAGTCACTTCCCCTACCAGCAAAATGAAGGGTTAGGATTAGATTGATTCATGGGGTCTCCTCCCACTGACATTTGGTGTCTAGGAAAGACTTTTTCACCTTACCTGGGCAAGAGGCTTGTCCTTACTAAATGGGTCTTGCTGAGAAGTCTTGTCTGGTCCTGTTGCATTGATGTTCTGGTCAAAGTCATCAGAGAAAAGGAGAGCATCCCCATCAAAGGCCACTCGGAGTTGTGTATCTGAGAATGGCAAGTCTTTATTCCCCAGGTACATTGTAGCTGCAGCAATCCCTGTAAACACATAGCACGGCTCTGTTAGCACCATCGCAGTGCCCCTGGAACCTCTGCCCCCCTCCTTTGTTTAAACTCTTTTTTAGTTATGCAACTAATATACGTCAACAAATATGGACATTTTCCTATACAAAGAATAAGCAAAAAAGAGGGTCATACATGAAATTTTGGTTAAAGTACCACCCATAATTTAAAAACATTTATCAAATTTAACATAACATTGCCTTGCTTTCATATGCCCAGCTTCTGTGAGCAAGTGTGTAAATTTTTCATTCGCAGTCTTTCCTTCTCTTTTCACATCTTGCACCATCCATCCCCTGCTCCCAAATGGAACAAGCATTAATTAAATACTTATCCTGTGACAGGCCCTGTGCTAAGTGCCATAGATACAAAGAAAAGTAAAAATACCCCCTGCTCTCGAGGGGCTCCCAATCTGATGGAGAAGAAACATGTAAATAACCAGGTACAAATAAGATTTATTCAAAGCAGGTGGGAGATAATTTCAAAGGAAGAGGCTGTTCCCTAGAAAACTGGGCAAGTTTCCTGGAAGAGGTGGTCTTTGAGCTGAATCTTAAAAGAAGCCAGAGAAGTAGAGACAGACAGGAAAGGAAAGAACATTTCAGTCCTGGGAGATGGGAGGTGGAGGGTCCTGTGTGGAAAACAGCCCATAAGCTAGTGCTGACAGAGAGGGCAGAGTGAATGAAAGGGAGTCAGGTGAAAGAAGCCTGCAAAGGTAGGAAGAAGACAAGCTATAAAGGACTTTAAAGGCCAAAGGATTTTATATTTCATCCTGGAGGTATTAGAGATGGGTAAAATAGTTGAACTAGAACAAATATGGATGATGTGACCAGGATGATATGGAGGAAATCCTTGCTGGTGACTATAGAATTGTAAGTGTACCAGTTATCTGAAGGAATGAAAGACACCAAAGGCGTGGAAACCCATCTCAAGTCTTATTGATACAGAGAAAGGTGTCTTTCTGGAAACTGTACCATGTAACACAGTAGCAAAGATGTTCCAGATCTATTGCCAGATCTGTTGCAAAAATTGTTTCCTGAGGCATAGAAGAAAATTTGAGTACACTTGAACCAAATGCATTTGAACTGGACATGTGATTCCTGATGTGGTGTGTTGTGAATTTCCATTTCAAAAGTTATTCTTTTAAATTATGTAAAAGAACTTGCTAAAATGCAAAAGGACACAAATAACTCAGTCTACTTCTTATAGACTTGAAAAGTGAAAAAATCCTTAGATATTAGCATCAGCAGAAATAAAGTGACTAAGCTAGTCAAAACCAATATTCATCTGAACAGATTGATGCTAGGCTCACAGTGCTTCCCAGAATAATAAAAAAAAAATCGCTAACCTTCTTAAGTAGAATACTTAAAATATAGTAATTTTCAGTTTTGCAGTTATCAATGAAAAGTACATTTGATGCTTATTGATTAAATTTTTCTGAAGTAAAACAAAACAAAACAAAAACTTGTTGATTTTAATAAACAAATAGAGAGAGGAAGAGGAATACACCAGAGTTTGGTGGGGAGGTGAAGAGGTAGGGGAAATTATTTCACATAATCGGAGTATACAAGTAGGCATCTGTAGAAAGGAGGAAGGGGTTGGGGGGCAGAGACAGACACTTGAACCTCAGTCTCATCTGGACTGGTCAAAAGAGAGAAGAACACCCTGCCCATATACATAAACATAAATAAGTACAGAAATACATTGCACTAGGGGGCAGAGCCAAGATGGCAGAGTGAAAGGAATGACTTGCTTGAGCTCTCCTCCAAACCCCTCCACATACTCATAAAAATGGCTCTAGACAAATTCTGAAGCAGCAGAACCCACAAAAAGACAGAGTGAAACAAATTTACAGCCCAAGACAACCTGGATGATTGATCAGAAAGGTGTATCATGCTGTGCTGGGAGAGCAGCTCAGCAAGGCATGGGCGTGCGGGCCGCAGCATGGGCGAGCAGGCCGCAGTGTGGGTGAGCGCAGGCCACAGTGAACCTGGAGCAGGCCTCAGAGGAGTGAATCTTGGGCAGCTGTGGAGGTTTCCAGACTCCTCAATCCACCAATACCAAAGAGAGCTTAGAAGGTCAGTGGGAAAAGTCTGTTTCTGTCGGTTCTGAGAAAGGAAGGTGGGGTCTCAGCTCCATTCCCCGAGTGTGGCCCTGGGGGGGGGCAGCTGCTTCCCCTAGCTTCCAGCCCACAGACTGAGGGGGAATCCAGTGGCTGATCAGAGAAGGATTGCAGGGATCTCTTTGCCAGTGCTGAGGCAGGAATCTCTTGCTTTGCCCATGTTTGGATCTGGGCCACAGTTCTGGGCAGCGGTGCTGAGGTGAGGAGGGGTGCAGGCTTGGTGGAGCTTGTAGTGGCTGGGGAGAGAAACCCCTCCTCACAGTTACAGGACAGAAAGGAGTACTTCTAGTCAAAGGCCAGGAAAGGAGTAAACACTTCACCCCTTATCATACCACCTTGGAAGAACTGAAAATTTACAGGTCCCTACAAGTATCTCTGAAAACAGCTGTACAAACCCCTGAAGCTTGGGACAGTACATTCTCCACATTGGAAGCAGATTCATACCTTAACAAAGAGTTTAAAACTCAAGTAATTGGCCAGGATCATGAGCAAGCAGTGCAAAAAGAGTCAGACTATATTATCTTACTTTGGTGAAAAAGAAGATCAAAATATACAACCAGAAGAAGACAACAAAGTCAAAGCTCCTACATCCAAAGCCTCCAAGAAAAATATGAATCAGTCCCAGGCCTTGGAAGAGCTCAAAAGGGATTTTGAGAAGCAAGTAAGGGAAGTAGAGGAAAAACTGAGAGTGATGGAAGAAAATCATGAAAAAAAGTCAACAGCTTGCTAAAGGAGAACCCAAAAAATACTGAAGAAAATAACATCTTAAAATATAGCCTAACCCAAATGGCAAAAGAGGTCCAAAAAGCCAATGAGGAGAAGAATGCCCTAAAAAGCAAAATTGGCCAAATGGAAAAGGAAGTCCAAAAGCTTACTGAAGAAAATACTTCCTTAAAAATTAGAATAGAGCAATTGGAAGATAGTGACTTTATGAGAAATCATGACACAGTAGAACAAATCCAAAAGAATGAAAAATTAGAAAACAATGTGAAATATCTCATTGGAAAAACAACTGACCTGGAAAATAGATCCAGGAGAGAGAATTTAAAAATTATTGGACTATCTGAAAGCCATGATCAAAAAAAGAGCCTAGACATCATCTTTCAAGAAATTATCAAGGAAAACTGCCCTGAGATATTAGAACCAGAGGGCAAAATAGAAATTGAAAGAATCCACAGATCTCCTCCTGAAAGAGATCCCCAAAGGAAAACTCCTAGGAATATTATAGCCAAATTCCAGAGTTCCCAGGTCAAGGAGAAAATATTACAAGCTGCCAGAAGGAAACAGTTCAAGTACTGTGGAAACACAATCAGGATAACACAAGATTTAGCAGCTTCTACATTAAAGGACTGCAGGGCATGGAATATAATATTCCAGAGGGCAAAGGAGATAGGATTACAACCAAGAATCACCTACCCAGCAAAACTGAGTATAATCCTTCAGGGGAAAAAATGGTCATTCAGTGAAATAGAGGACTTTCAAGCATTCTTGATGAAAAGACCAGAGCTGAATAGAAAATTTGACTTTCAAATACAGGACTCAGTGGAACATGAAGAGGTAAACAGGAAAGAGAAATCATAAGAGACTTATTAAGATTGAACTGTTTATATTTCTGCATGGAAAGATGATATTTATAACTCATGAGACCTTTGTCAGTATTAGGGTAGTTGGAGGAAGAAAAATATATGTATGTGTAGATAGATAGATGGATAGATAGAGTGCACACGGTGAGCTGAAGATTAAGGGGTCATATCTGGAGAATAAAATTAAGGGATGAGAGAGGATTATACTCAGAGAAGAAGAAAGGGAGAGGTAGAATGGGGTAAATTATCTCACAAAAAAATAGAAAAGAAAAGTCTCTTACAGTAGAGGGGAAAACGGGGGAAGGTGAGAGGGAATGAGTGAATCTTATTCTCATAGGATTTGGCTTAAGGAGGGAATAACATACACATTCAATTGGGTATGGAAATCTGTCTTACCCTACAGAAAAATAGGGGGAGAAGGGGACAAGAGAGCAGGGGGTTGATAGAGAGGAGGGAAGATTGGGAAAGAGGGTAATCAGAAGTAAATACTTCTGAGGAGGGACAGGGTCAAAAGAAAGAATAGAATAAATGGGAGGGCAGGATAGGATTAAGGGAAATAGAGTTAGTTTTTCACAACATGTCTACTATGGAAGTGTTTTGCATAACTGCACATGTACAACCTATATGGAGTTGCTTGCCTTTTCAATGAGGGTGGTTGGGGAGGGAGGAAGAGAGAAAATTTGAAACCTAAAGTTTTAAAAACATGTGTTTAAAAATGTTTTCACATGCTACTGGGAAATAAGAAATATAGGAAATGGGATACAGAAGTTTATCGTGCCCTACAGGAAAATAGAAGGGGAAGGGGATAAGAGAAGGGGAGAGAGATAGAAGAGAGGACAGACTAGGGGAAGGGATATTCAGAATGCATGCCGTCTCGGGGTGGGGGGAGAGGCGAGATGGGGTGAAAATTTGGAACTCAAAATCTTGTGAAAGTGAATGTTGAAAACTAAAAATAAATAAATTTATATTAAAAAAAAAGAAAGAAATATATTGCACTCGACAGGAAGCTAGAAGGGAGGAAGATAAAGGGGTGGGTGGAGGAAGCAATTAGTCCTAAGCAAAGAAAACTCTAAGGGTGTACAAAAATATTTATAGCTCTTTTAAAGTGGAAAAGAATGGAACTCTGAAGCAGTGCTTATAAACTGGGGAATGGATGCACAAGTTGTGGTATATAAATGTGATTGGATACTATTGTACTAAACTCTTATCAATGTAATGAACAACTGGGATTCCAGATGTGATGCCCACCCTCTGATAAGAAAGGTGAAGATTCATAATGAGACAAATATATTTTTTAGATGTGGCCAGTGTGGAAAGTTGTTTTGATTGTCTATAAATGTTTATAATAGATTTTGTTTTTCTTAATTGGGGTAAGGAGGGGACAGTTAGAGTGGGAGAATGAGAAGGCAGATTTTTGGTTGACTATAACAAATAAAATATTATACAATTAAAAAAAAATCTTGCTAAATTGGAAGACATAAATCATTGGCAGCTTTGGAGAGAACAGTTTTTTTGAGCAATTATGCCAGAAGCCAGACTTTATACCCCACACCTATCAGATTTGCTAATATGACAGAAAAGGAAAGTGACAAATGTCAAAGGGAATGTGAGGAAATTGAGACACTAATGCACTGTTGGTGGAGTTGTAAACTGATTCAGCCATTCCGTAGAGTCATTTAGAACTGTTTTATAAAACCATACATACTCTTTGACCCAGTAATACCACTACTAATTCTGTATCTCAAAAAGACAAAAAAACAAAAAGGAAAAGGACTATATGTACAAAAATATTTATAACAGCTCTTTTAATGGTGGCAAAGAATTGGTAATTGAGAGGATGTCCATAAATTGGGGAATGACTGAACAAGTTGTTACATATGATTGTGATAGAATATTATTGTGCTATAAGAAATGATGAACAGGATGCCCTCAGAAAAATCTGTTACATTAACTGATGCGAAGTGAAGTGAGCAGAACCAGGAGAACATTGCACACAGTAACAGTGATATTGTACAACAATCAGCGGTGAATGACTTAGCTGTTCTCAGCAATATATTTGATCCAAGACAATTCTGAAGGACTTGTGAAGAAAAATACTATCCATCTCTAGAGAAGGAAATGATGGAATTTGAATTTATATCAAAGCATACTTTTTAAGCTTTCTTTCTTTTTCTTTTTTTAAACTGTTTTCTTTCACAGCATGACTAATATTCAAATATTTTCCATGACAATACATTTATATTCTATATCAAATTGCTCACTGTCTCAGGTAGAGAGGAAAGAAAAGAAAGAAGGAGAGAATTTGGAACTCAAAATTACAAAATATATATTGTTAGAATTGTTTTTATATGAAATTGGGGAAAATAAAATATTAAGCATGAAAAAGAAAGAAATTTTTATGTATTTATTTATTTATTTATGGTCAGGCAATTAGGGTTAAGTGAGTTGCCCAGAGTCACACAGCTAGTAAATGTTATGCATCTGAGGCCAGATTTGAACTCAGGTCCTCCTGACTCCAGGGCCAGTGCTCTATCCACTGGGCCCCCTAGCTGCCCCAAGAAAATTATTTAGGCGTCTTAACGACCAGAATAAAAAGGAGGAAGAGGAACAGGAGGAGGAAAAGAAGGAGGGGGAGGGGAGGAGGAAGAGAATAAGGAGGAAGAGGAGAGGGAAAGGGGAAGAGGAGGGAGAAAGGGAAAGAGGAGAAGGAAAGGGAGGGGGAGAAAGAGGAGGGGGAGGAGGAGGAGGACAAGAAGCAGCAGCCAGGTTTTAGTGAATTAAGAGGATGAGAGGAAAGGAAATGGAGATCGCATTTGTAGATGACCTTCTCAAGTACTTTAGCCCTGAAAGGGAGGAAAGGTATTGGACCATAGAGCCCAAGGCTAGACATGTCAAGTCAGAGTTTTTTGAGGATTGCTGAGATGTGAACATATGTGTAAGGAGTAGGAAGTGGCCGGAGACAGGGAGAAATGAAATCACTGAAGGTGAGTAAAAGAGTGAAGATGGTAGTGGAGCAATCTGCAAGAGAGGACAGGGTGGAACGGGATCACTTGTGCATGTAGAGGGGTTTGCCCTGGTAAATATGTATGAGACGGGGATGAAGGAAGAGACAGTGAGAAATGGTAAAAAAAAAAAAAAAACAAAACCTGATGCTACTTGACGTGGGTCCGACAGGGATTAATAAACCACGCACCTGAATATATAGGTGGTAGAGTAATGAAGGGGAGAGGTAAGAGACTTGTGAAAAGAGTTAACAAGATAAGAAAGGATTGGATTTTGGTTCAGGTTGTTCATTATTGCAGAGTGTTGGAGGCACATGGGACTCCTCCAAGTTTGCAAGGAACAAATTTGAAATACCTCATTGGTCCTTGTACTTGTCTGTCACACTGCACAATCTCACCAAGTTGGCTAGTTGGATCCATTGTACTCAAGGGATCAGGGGTCATTGCATTAATTCTCTAATCCATGTACAATGAATTCGTTGAATTACATGATCCCTGAGGTCTCTTCCAGCTCTAAGTCCTAAGATCCATCTGTCAGCAACAGGGATTAGAGATTAATGGGCTGAAGTGATCAGGGATGACTTGAAGAAGGAAGAGGTCTTTGGCCCCATTATGGTCATGGGTATTGAACTTTTTGGTATTCACTTCCCTCTCCTTTTCTTCCCCCAAACATTGAACTCCTTGAGGGTCAGGAAGTATTACTTTTCATCGCAGTATAGGGCCTTGTATGTCCTATAAATCTTGAAAAATTGAATTGAATGGAAGTAGGATTGATAAAGGTTGGGGAAAAGGTGTGGAAAAAGGCAGGAACAAGGAAGGAAGGCTAGAAAACCACAAGCCCAGCAATGATGGGTAGACTAGCCTGGATGAAGCAAAGCTTTCCTATTAAGAATCGAATGTAGAACATTAGCCTGGAAATGGGGATTGGAGTCAGATTACAGAGAACCTTGAATGGCAGCCTGAGGAGTTTGGACTTTATCTCATGGATGACAGGGAGTCACTAAAGGTGGAGCTGCATCAATCATATCTTAAGTTGTTCCTTCTTGGAATGAGTGTTTTTTCCTTTGGGAGAGAGGTGGGTGAAACAGAGTTTGATTTACAGATGAGTGATTGCATGTTGGGGTAGATTGTGGGGAGTCATTTAGGGGTAGGGCTTATGGGGTGCAAGCACTGACCCAGTGGAGAGGCCCCTGAGTCCTGGGTGTCAGCTGGAAGCTAGCCTGGCCACTTAGCCAAAAAAAGGACAAATAACTCAGCAAGGTGGTACAGTTTGGTGTGGAGAAGAGAGGCAACCACAGGGCCAGGAGGAGTTGTGTTCTCCTTGCCCCTGATGTGGACTGACTGTCTGACCCTGGGCAAGTCACAGCCTCTTCACCATCTCCCAAGACTGTTAGTTGCAGAGAAAATGCCAACCTGCAATGGGGGAGGAAGTTATTTCACCTGGGATGCTTACATTCCAATGAAATTATAGGTTTAGTATACGTCTAGCTCTACCGACTATTAAAGAAAACAACAACAGATCCCTACCTTCTTCTATGGCTTCTTGTACCTTGTCAGAATCTGCAGAAAGATATAAGTTTGTAAGATATGCCTTTAGATAGCCGATAGGGCTTTCTCCACCAGTCAGGCAGAAGCGGTCAATTAATAAGCCTATGAACAGACAAGAGAACCACTGTTAGAACCACATCCAGCCAATATGTTAGCAACATCACCTGTTGGAAGCACTGCTTATACTTGGGCTCTATGATTTAAAGATTCATTTTGCAGAGGATTTTTGTGGGCTTGTCATAATAAGTAGTTCAAAGATTTCATAGATCCACAGTGTTTTAGATCTAGAAGGGGGTGGGTCAGAGGTCATTTAGTCATAAAAACCACGGTATATTCTGGCTGTGAACTGAGGCTGCATTTTGTTCCACTGCTGCCTCATCAGCATAAAGATGGTAAATTAAATCCATAGGAACTGATGAGATCACCAAGTGAAGTGGTGTAGAGGGAGAAGATGGCCCAGTACAGAGCCCTGTGGGACACTCACTATATATTAGCTCATTTGATCTTACAAATGTTGGAATTTAAAGCTGGAAGATAAGTTAGAGGTCCACTTCCCCCTCTCCTTTTTTGGTTAAACAAGAAAATAAATTGTGGTTCAGAAAGATCAAATGTTTTAGCTCCTTCACCTTCCTTCACAACAAATCTTCAGTGACTCCCAATTGCCTGTAGTCAAATGCAAGCTCTTCAGCCTAACAACCTTCAGAGACATCCACAATTTGACTTCCCACCTATCTTTTCAGGCTTATTTTATGTCATTCCTTTTCACAGACTATCCACTCCAATCAGACTAGCCAGCTAGTCATGTTCCAATCACACTTTATCTCTCATTCCTTGCCTTTGCACAAGTGCTCTCTCCAATGCAAACAATGCATTCTTCCTTTGAATACCTAGTTTCCTTCAAAATCAGTTCAGCTGCCAACCCTTCATGAGATCTTTCCTGATGTCCTATCTTCTCTTCTCCCTCTCTCCTCACTCCTTCTTTCACTCCTTCTCTCCATCCCTATGTCTCTTTTTGTCTTGCTGTCTGTTCCTCCCTCTTTCTCCCTCTCAAAAATACTTGTGTCTTACTTGTCTCTGTGTTGTAATTTCCCCTTTCCCACCCTGATAGAATAAAATTCGGTGGGGGCATGGCCTCTTTTGTTCTCTCTTGTCAGAACCCAGCATGGTGCCATATATATAGCAAGTGCTTAAAATTTGTTGAATTGGGTTAGATTAGCATTATGATTTAGAGAAGAGAGGTTCTATTATTCCCATTTTTAAGTTGAATACTAAAGTTCAAAAAGAGAAATGATTTATCCATAGTCAGCTTTAGTGGAAGAATGGGACTCCAATAATGATGAAAAAGTCTTAAATGACTTGCCCACGATCCCAGAGCTACTAGGGTCAGTGGCTGGCTTTGAACTGGAGTCTTCATGCCTCAAAGAGGAGTGTTTGTTCTAGCTAATCTGCCTGCACCTGTCTCCTGACTCACAGCGCCACTCCAGGCACTCTATAGGATCTAGACAACTCCTGAGTGTCTGATGGTTTGATTTGAGAAATGCAGAACCAGGCAGCATTAAAGCTGGAAGAACTTCCTGCTTTCTCTCCATTTCCCTGTTAGTGAAATGCATTTCTGTCCCCAGTTGTTCTCAAGTCCAAGGAGGTTATGACTTGCTGAGGTCACACAGGGAGCTGCAGACCCAGCTTTTGAAACCAGATATTTTCGCTCCTGTTCAGTGACTTTTCCACTAGTCATCTTTCTTACAGCTTCCTCCCCTCTGTTTCCTGGTGGGCGGGGAGCCAGACACCAGCCTCCCGGCTGCTCCCTGCTCACGCCTATCTCACTCACTCTCTCAGTGCATCTTCTCTGGCCAGGCCTTGGCCTAGGATGCTCTCTCTTCTCATTTCTATCCTCTTAGCTTCCCTGGCTTTCTCCAAGTCTCAGCTTCAGTCTCACCTCTGCCAGAAGCCTGTCCCATACCCCATGACCCTAGTGCCTTCCTCTGAGACGATCCTCAATATTTCCTGCCTCTAGATTACTTGTACATCGTGTTCCCATGTTATCTCCCCCATTAGACTGTGAGCTCCTTGAGAACACAGACTATTATTTACTGTTTTTGCTTTTCTTTGTATTCCCAACATTCACTAGAGTGCCTGGCACATAGTAGGTGCTTAATAAATGTTAGTTGCCTATTCAAATTAACAAGACAAAATTGACTTCACAGAACCCTAGAATGTCCTGCACAACATACCATTTGTTCAGACACTGCTTGAAGACCTCCGAAGAAAGGAACACCACCTCATCCGAGAGCACATTCCACTTTTGGACAGTTTTCATTATTAAGAAATTGTTTCTCCTTAGAGGCATCTGGTGGCACAGTGGTTAGAGCACTGGGCCTGGAATCAGGAAGACCTGAGTTCAGATCTGGCCTCAGACACTTACTAGCTGTGTGACCCTGGGTAAGTCACTGAACCTGTGACTGCCTCAGTTTCCTCAACTTTAAAATGGGAATAAAAATAACACCTATCTCCCGAGGGTTCTGTAAGGATTAGAGAATATTAAAGAAAAAAAAAACTCTTAGCACAATGCCCAGCACATAGTAGGTGATTTGTAAATGCTTATTATCTTCCCTTCTCCTCTCCTGCTCCTCCCCACAGCATGTTCTTAATGTGTCTCTTTGCAATTGGACCTGCCTTACTTCCAAATGACTAAGCTCAGAAAACTATGAAGCATCAACCTCTTTCTTCCCGAATCCTTTTGGTGTGAAATTCATTACTGGCCATTGGAGTCTACCAATCCACTAAAGGTGGGAACACAGAAACACTCGCACAGACAGACACAGAGAGACACGCATAGACAAAGATACACGTAGACATAGATAGACACATGTAGACACAGACCAACACACAGATACTCACACATAGGCATAATGAGACACAGATATACAGACACATGCAGAAACACTCACACAGACACATAGACATATACATACACACATAGACACATATAGACACACAGACACAGATAAACAGATAAAAACATATACAAACACACAGACATAGATATGCAGACACACACCCAGGCCTACTCACACACACACAGACACAGATACACACTCTATGGTCAGTTCACTCAGGTAACTTGTTTGCTGGCCCATTTAAACTTCATGCACTGATGAAATTCATTCTATCAAGGACCTCCCAAAATAAGTAAAGTAGGATTTATTTTTTTTAAGTCAGTAGGAAACCAACAAAAATCTTTGTGACTCTCAATGTCAATCCGAGCCGTCCCATACAAAATGGTGCCTTGCTGTGTGGAAAGGACACAGGCCCGATATCTCCTCAAGGACTGGCTCTCCCACATGTAAATTGTGTGACCTGGGGATGACCATTAAACCAATCTGAGCCCTCTTCCTATGAAGAATAGAAGTAACTTCTGACTTGCATTCCTTCAGTAGTTGTGATGAGGTCGAATCACTTAGTGGATGTGAAAGCGCTTTGTGGTCTGGAAAAGGATTCTCCATATTTGCAGCCCCAAAGGCCAGTGCTGAAGTCTGGAATGTGTTATTTCTTGTTCTTTACTCTTATCGGCAGAGTCAGTATTGTTATATCTCGTCTCCAAAGTACCCAGCACGGACCTTGCTCGTAGCAAGTTTCTTGGGTGTTATTTATTGAGTAACTGTCGAAGGGATTCCTGCACCAGGACTACATCCCTGGTACGCCCTCAGAGGGGCATCCGCAAAGGGAATGCTAGTGGCTGTCCGTGTGCCCATAGAGCACGTGTGGCCAGGGCACCTTGCGTCTCTGATCCTGCTGGTGTCCTCGGATCACACTTCTCACTGTTGGGCGTCACATCTCTGCCGATCATCTTGGCTGGTTTCTGGCTGTGTGGGGGATCTGCTGAGTCGCTTCTTGCTGCCATCTGATGGCCAAGCCAGTCCATCTGCTGCTTTCTGCTATCCCCTGCTGGTTAACCTCTCCCACACTAGAAGGGCTAAAGCCATTGCAGTTTGTAGCCAGCCGAGGAGCCAACAAATGTGTGCTGAAGCCCTCAGGCAAGGACTAAGTTTGCTCTTTAGCAGCTTTTCTTTCGATGTTTCTTGGTATCCCTGGACCCAACCATCTGACCCGGGATTAGGAAATCACTTTAATTCTTGTCTCATCCCTGGCTCTCAGCCTGCATCCTCTCAAATCCTTTTGGATACTTTACTCAAGAAAACCACCAGGGAGCCATGGATGTGTAAGGTAAGGAGGCTCCTCTCAGTTTCTCATTATGTACACATGCCCTTGGATTAGTTTGGCTCCTGGGGGTAAGATCAGAAGGGCAACATGAATCTGGCAGGACTGTACGTGTAGAACCTTCATTCCAATTCCAAATTCCTTGCTTTATTAGGCATCCCTTCCAGCAGCACCTTCCTGTATCAAGGAACACTTCCTAATAATTAAAGCCATGCAAAAGTGGAAGGGACTCCCTCTGTACACAGCAGCTTCTCTGTCCCAGAGGAATGACCATTTGTCTGGTGTATGATAGGGGAAGGGCTTGTCCTGGCACGTCAGACTTCTCCAGTCTGCTTTCATCCCTTCTCTTGTTCTTCCAGTGGGATTCAGTGAATTTGGCTGACTACTTACAGTCTTATGGAAGGATCATGACACTATGTAGAATTTATTGACAGGGGTGACCAGAATTATGGGAGACTGGACCCCATGCCCTATGAAGATCCACTGGAGAAACCACAAATGCTTCCTCTAGAGGAGATTCAGGGGAGGGAGATATGCAAGCTGTCTTCAAGAGTTTGAAGGGCTGTCAGGTGGAAGAAGTGGCAGAGCACTCTTTCTGCTTGGCTTCAAAGGGAGAGATGAAGAAGAAGGAGTAGAAGCTTCTCAGAGTTCAATTTGGGCTTTTGACATAAGGAAACACTTCCTAACAGGGAAGGCTGTGCTGAAGGTGCACTGAGCTGCCTCAGTAGGTCATGGACTGCCATCACCAGAGGTCTGGACAACTACTCAGTGGGGACATGGCACAGGGGCTTTCTACTTAGGAATGAGGGTCAGCAAGTAGCCTTGGAGTTTTCATTCCCACACTATAGCTCTTAGGTTTGCAATTTTGATTGGGCACAAGTACAGAGGTGACAAGAGTTTTTTGTTTGTTTTTCCTTTTTATCAAAGAAAACATATGGTAGAGTGACTTATACTCAATTTTGGGCATTAGATGGAGTCAAAAAGAGGGTGTTAGCATCATTCCCTAGTCTTTCCCAAAGCAGAAAGACTCAGGGCCATTTCTTTGATCCTTCAAAACATTCTTTAAACTCAAAGATGACTTCAGTGGAATTTAATCAATAGAATGTTCATCTAAGATGAGGGTATGAGGCTGTGTGTTCATGTGTGTGTTCATGTGTGTGCGTGTGTGGGGGTTAGGACACAGGAGGAGAAAGAAAAGACAGGTTCAGTAGTGTTTCTTTCCCTACAGGAAGCTGGATAACCATTGGCCAGTCATACTTTAGAAGAGATCTGAGTTGTGGGGAGGGGTTGGACTAGGTGACCTTTGAGGTCACTCCCAAGTCTGAGATTCTAAAGTTCTTGGTGGTAAGGGTAGGAAAAGCGAGGTGAACCTTCTTAAATATTTAACACGTTTAGCTTGTTTTACTGGTGAATGAATTGTTTGATCATAGAAAGAATGCCTCCTGATTGACAGTGCCTTGATGTCAAGTTCCTAAGTTTAGAACAAAACAAAACAAAACAGAAAACAGAACTATACTGCAGACCCTGGGATTAAGACCCTGAAATTCACACTTGACAAGTTAAGTCCAGAGCTTTGGGCCAAGCCCTCTTGCTGCAGTTGGAAACACACATGGTGGCTCTTGTTCTGACATCTGCAAATAAACACTTACCGTGCAGCCCGTGTGTCTGCATCAAAGGGGCTGCGCTCAGGCAAGTCGGGGGCAGCAGAGCCCCCAGCCCCCCAGCCCGGGCCACAGACACATCCTCCACACGGTGTTTATTTGACTTACTTACCGTGGTGATTGATGCTGCTTATGAGCCTCACCCCCACGTGGGCGTGGTTATTAGTCACCAGCACAATATCAAACAGGTCCTGTTCATTGGGATAAAGACTGCGCAGTCTGGCATTGACATTCTGCAAAGCCTGCAGGTTACAAACATCGAGGTGCATGTGTCAGCCTGGTAGGCCCAGAGAGTAGCCACCGAAAGGGAAGGGGAACAGTGGGCCCATCTCCCTGGCCAGACCTGCTTCTTGGATTCCTAGGCCACCTCTTGAAGCCAAGAGAAAAAGCACAAACAGGTGGGAACCATTTGCTTTTGTGGAAGAGAGGGTGGCTGGGATTGGGCCCATGACTGCACCAGCGGAAAGCCCCTCCCTCCAACGATGTTGTCTGGAGGTCCTGAGAAGCACTGAGCCAGAATGAGTAAGAGCTGAGATGACCTCTGGGGCAGGTAGCTGGGGTACAGTGGGAAAAAACATCCATGGGATTGAGAGGTAGAGGGGAATCTGGTCCTGTGTCTACCACTAAAAGCTACCCCTAGGAGCTTAGGCAAGGAACTTTGCAGAGTGAATGGGGTGTCCCCAGGAGAGCACTGGGTGTGGGGTCACAGCAGGCCTGAACTTCAATCTTGACTCTAGCACACGAGTTACAGAATTAGACCTCAATTGTTTTCCTCAAGCTGGTATGTGGACAGCAGCCTCCTTCATGACCTACTTGACAAGGGCTCATCTCAGACCTGCCCAAAGTATTCCTGGGGAGCAATGCCTTCTGAGACAAACAATCCCTTTCACTTTAGGGCAGCTCTAACCGTAGGCTCAATGTGAAGCCTACAATGGCCTCTCCACAATGACTCTCTGTTGGTAAGTTTTGCCTTCTAGGCCCAAGTAGAAACAAGTCTAAAGTGTCTTCAGGCTTCCCAATACTTGCACAGAGCTATTACGTCCTTCCTAAGTTTACCCATGTCTGCAGGCTAAACATCTCCAATTGATTCAGCATGTTCTAATATCGAATGACATTTAAGGCCCTTATAGCTGCTAAATGGTACAGTGGAGGGAAGGGCCAGGCCTGTAGCCAAGAAGAAGAGTTAACAATAATTTGACCCCAGGCTACTCAGTTTCACTGAAACTATTTTCTTATATGTAAAATGGGGAGAGTAATAGCACCTACTTCACAGGGTGAGGTATGTGAGGATCAGATGAGATGATTGATACAAAGCGTTCTGCAAACCTTGAAGTCCTGCACAGATGCTAATCATCATCCCTGTCATCACACCGCTGCCACCACCACCATCATCATCATCACTATCCTCCTCCTCATCTTCCTCATTACCATCATCATCGCTACACTCATCCACATCACCATAATCATCTTCATCATCCCCATCATCCCCACCACCACCATCATCATCATCACTATCCTCCTCCTCCTCTTCATCTTTACCACCACCATCACTATCTTCATCCCCATCCCCATCATCCCCATCATCATCATCATCACTATCCTCCTCCTCATCTTCCTCATTACCATCATCATCGCTACACTCATCCACATCACCATAATCATCTTCATCATCCCCATCATCCCCATCACCACCATCATCATCATTCTCATCACCACCACCATCACCACTATCATCATCTTCCTCATCTTCCTCATTACCACCATCATCACTATCCTCATCCACATCACCATCATCCTCTTCATCCTCACCACCACCACCACTACCATCTTAGTTGCATTCCACTAGACTCTCCCTACATACTAATTTTGTTCCTAAAATGTGGCACCTAGAACTTAATGCTATATTCTAGACAAGGTCTGCACAGAGCAGAGGACAATTCACTTCTGACCTTCCCAGCTCTGGACATCATTTTTCTCTCAGTAGACCTACAGTGATAGTAGCCTCTTGGGTTACCATGTTCCATTGTGGATTTGTGTTAAAGGTGTAGTGCATTAAAAGCCTGAGACCTTTGTTGTTCTTAGGTTTTAGATGAGTCTCTGTCCAGCCACCTCTGCCTACCTATATATTTGTGAAATGTGTTGTTTCTGTCTCTTTTGAAGTGAATCTTATTCTCTTTATCCCATTGTTTTCTTCTGTTGAGATTTTTCTGGATCCCACTCTATAATCTAATTAGCTAGCCATTCATTCTTGCTTTGAGCCATCTGTCAATTCAGTGAGCATGCCATCTACCCCAAGGCAATCATAAGAATGTCAGACATGCCAGGAGCCACTGCTGCTCCCTGCCACATTCCACATTGCTATTCAAACATCAATGCCTATGCTGACCATCAGGCCATTTATTTGACAATGAAGGGAATGGGTCTGCTCATTTAGTTGTGAGTTCAGCAGACTGTGCTGTTAGCTGGCCCCTATATTTTCATCTCATCCAGAAGAGCAGCATGAGAGACATTAGTTTTGCCACAACCCAGGTAAACAATATTGCATTCTTCCTAATTTATTAGTACAGTAACCTTGTAGTCTGACATGGCTTGCTCTTGATGAAGACATACTGGATCTTTGTGATCACTTCTGCCTTTTTGAAACATTCAGTAACATCCTTTTAATAACATATTCTATAATTTCCCCCAGGAATCTGAACTAAGGCTACTGGCTTATAATTTTCATGCTCTCTCCTAACTTAAAATATATATACATATATATTTGCTTTTCTGCCTTTTAGAGTACTTGACTAGTCTGTCCAGCACTATTCTAAGTGTTTCTAGTACTGATCATTTGCAAAGTGCTTTATGTACATGTTTAATTATCTCTCGCTGTCTCTAAAATCTTTCAAAGGTCAGTGCTGGTGGCTCAGAAACACACGCTGGTATATCATTCTTTTTTTTTAATCTAAACAAAATGGAGGACAGAGAAAACTGGGTATATATATCTACACATTTAGATACTGTAAGAAGTCTCTCTCTCACCCCACTAGTCAAAATACTTCTGTATCATCCCTTGTTCTCTTTTCCTTTAGTGAAGACATTCCTCTTCACCATCTTTCAGGGGAGGACGGATGATGCCTTTTCCTGGTAAAGTGAACCCTTCTGTTGTGTTCTTGACCCCAATTGCTGCCTTTTTTTATTCTCCCACTTCCTCTTCATGGCCCCTTCCCCACGCCCTACAGTTAAGTCTTACCCATCCTTAAACACTTACATATACCGTACCTACTAGTATAGCTCACACTCTTGAAAAGCTTGTTGTCAGTCAATGTCAGCACCACCAGAAATATCACTCACTTTTGGTCCTTTGCTCCATCACTCAAGTGAGACTACTCTCTTCACAGTTACCTGTGATCTCTTAACTGTTCAATTCAGTGGCCTTCTTTTCTCATCAGGTTCTCAACCTTGACTTCTCCGTAGCTTTTGACACCATCTTCCACTCCCTTCCCTTGGACACTCTCATTCTTGGCTTCTGTAACACTGATCTCTTCTGGTTCTCCTGTCTAATTTCTTTTTCTCAGGCCCCTTTGTGGGTTTCTCACCCATGTCATGACCCCCATCTGTGGGTATTCACTCTGTCCTGAGTTCTTTTCTCTTCCCTCTCTACTTTCTCTGATCACTAAGCAGGTGATTCACAGACCTATTTATTGAACCTCAGGCACTTTCTCAACCTCCAGGACCTTACTTTTTAACTGATTGTGGAATAACTACACTTGGATAACATACTGTCATCTCAAAACCAACACATGCAAAGTACAAATAAAGATTTTTGTTCTCCTCTCCCTTCATCCACTGCCCCCCCCCATCCACCAACCCAAGTTGTCCATCCTATCTCCATGGTGTCTTCTGAATTTGTTCCCTTCTCTCTACCCATAAAGTCACCATCCTAGGTCAAGTCCTTATCCTTTCTCATCCTACACTATTGCAATAAATGTCCAACTGGTTTTCCTACCTTGTCTAGTCTCTCTCCACAGTCTTGCCAAATTGCTATTTTTAAAATACAAATCTCATGATATCACTCTCCTATTCAAAAGACTTTGTGGTTCCCTATTATCTCTAGAAAAAAAATCAAACTTCCCATTTTTACATTTAAAGCCTTCCTAAACTCCACCTGAGCATTGGGTTCAGAATCAGGAAGACCTGAGTTCAAATCCAACCTCAGACATTTATTTTCTCTGTGATCTTGGGAAAGTCATTTGACCTCTGTCTGCCCCAGTTTTCTCATCTGTAAAATGGGGATAATAATAGCACCCACCTCTAGAGCTCCTGTGAAAATCAAATGTGGTAACATTTGTGGAGTGCTTAGCACAGTGCTTGTCACACAGCAGGCACCAAATAAATGCTTGTTGCTGCCCTCCCCTCCTTTAGTCTAACCCTCATTTCTCTTTTCAGTCAGATTTCATATTATTTGCTGTTTTGTAGTATGTATTTGAGTCCAACTGGGCAGCTCGATACTTCCCATACACAATCTTCCATTTGTTACCTCCCATGTCTTCTCAAGAGTGGCCCCTATGTCTGGAATGTACCCCCTCCTTGCCTCCTCTCCTAACAGAATCCCTAGCTTGCTTCCAAGCACAGTTCAGGGCACTACTTCTTAAGTGAGACCCTTCCCAATGTCCCTGATTGTTAGTACTTTCACCTTCCCTGCTGTTCACTTGCGGATTGCATCCACTCCCCTGGCTTCAGTCATCTTTGTGCAGAAAACTTTCAGGTGTACTTGGTCTAGGCTGGGGGAGTGGATAGTAGAGAGTCACACAGTCATAGCTTGTCAGACGTGGAAGGGCCCCAAGACATCCTCAAGCCTTGACCCCTCATCGAGCAGAGGAAGAGACAGGGCTGGGGAGTGCTGAGAATTTAGCTCGGGTTTTTCTCAGCTTGTCCATGGACTGGTACCTTGATGAAGCCAAAGGCGGGTCCCGGGCTCAGAATGACATTCTCATTGTTGATCTGGTACTCCATGTACTTCTCCAGTCCTTCATTCTCAAAGATTTTACTGTCTTCCACCATATTGAAGAGTGCCCGGGAAGAGACAGCGATAGTGATAGCATTCTTTGGTTTGGGCTGCAGGAAGTGGTGGACAGAAAGATGGGTGGATCAGGAATTGCTAGAGGAAGAAGAGTGGGTCAGACAGAAAGAGAGAAATAAGGGTGTGGTATGGCATAGGATGGGAGGAGGGACAGATATTGGTGGGTTGGTTGGTTGGATGGATTATGGTTGATTGCAGGTAAGAGAGGAATGGGTGGGATAAATGGATCAGTGAAGACAAGTAGAAAGATAGAGGGATAGACAGTAAGGGCTGTGGAGGAAGAGGGGAGCAATGAGGGGACAAGTAGAGAGGATGGACAAAGGGACACATGAAACATGGTGAAGGGTGACTGGAAAAGGGGGAGTCAAAGTTCAGAAGAAGAATATAACCCAGGTCACAGTCTGGCTGGCTGCAGAAAGGCAGGGGAGGCCCAAGGCATACCCCAAGCCCTGGGAGGTGGGGAAAGGGGAACGTGGATGGTGCTTACTGGCCTGGGTCGGCCAGAAGTCCAGTTGGAGATGTCCTCATCAGTGTCTTCATTCACATCCCTGGAGCTCGGGGTGAGCTTCCATCCCTGGGGTGACTGGTTCTTAAGCACCTCTGAGGTTGGAGGTAGAAGTGGACTTGCAGGCTGTTTTGGTGCCCCAGAGCTCTGAATAGCAGTCAGAATAGGAGGCAGCTTCTGTTCCCCAGGATCCATCATGGAGAATAGAGATTCCATGCTGCTGGACTGCTGGAGACAGGGGTAATGAGCTGAGTGAGTGGTACATCCTGACCCCAGGCCCCTCTTCTTTCTCCTCCCCCCAACACAAGGTCACTGTACATAGCCTAGGTCCCTGGCTCAGCACACACTCCCTTGAGCATACAGCATGGTGCCCTTAAAGGCTCTGAGATGCAACAGATTCCAGCTTCAATCTGTTGATGCCTCATTCATTCATAGAATGTTCACAGCCACTTCTAAGCCACCCTCCCCACACCCGCCAACCTCCACACTCCTCATTTCTAACCTTCTTCCCGGGGAAGGTATATTACTGAGGAGGCACAATCCATGGATAAGACAACTCTAGTGCACAGTGTGTGTGTGTGTGTGTGTGTGTGTGTGTGTGTGTGTGTGTGTGAGAGAGAGAGAGAGAGAGAGAGACAGAGAGAGACAGAGAGAGACAGAGAGAGACAGAGAGAGACAGAGAGAGAGACAGAAACACCAAAAGACAGAGAGAGACAGAGTCAGAGAAAAAGACAGAGACGGAGAGAGGAAGGGGGAGCTTTGAATCCGCTAAATCTTCATGCTTAGAATGTGGCATTTGAGACTCTAAGGCCCTGGGCTCCCACCCTGACTAGTGCTTACTTGGCACAGTGACCCTGAACAAGTCACTTCATTTCTTTCAGCTTGTTTCCTCATTTGTAAGATGGGAATAGAGACTGGAGGACCTAACTGCACAGGCTTGGGATAATCTTTCACAATAGTAGTAATAATAGCTAACATTTCTCTGACACTTTAAGGCCTGCCAAGTGCCTTATCAACATCACGTCATTCGATCCCCACGAAAACCCTGGGAAGTAGGTGCTATTGTTATCATCTCCAGTTTACAGTTAAGGAAACTGAGGCAGACAGAAGTGAACGGTTGTGCCTGAGGTCCACAGCTAGGAAGTTCCTGAAGCTGCATTTGAACTCAGTTCTTCCTGCCTCGAGGGCTGGTGCTTAGACATGGCCCTATACAGATGGGATCCAATGAAATTATCATCTGTAGAGTGCCTTGGAATCCCAGCCCCAAGGGTGGGGTGAAAGACCCTGCTGTGTTAGGTCATTTTCCTCATCTTTCCCTTGTGTTTTTGTCTGATGAGGAGATTGGGTTCCTCCAACATGACTGCTCTGGACAAACCTATTCCTTGTTCCCCTTTCTCATTGTGCATGAGACCTCACTTCCATGCTCCTTTTTTCGGTGAGCCCCCTCACCTCGATCTGGCAGGTTCCATGCTCTTGCCTGTCCTTGTCTCCTCCTGGGCTGTCCCTCTGTCCTCCCCAGTCTGTCCCAGCAGGCCTCTCAGTAGCCAAGGACACCATTCCTCTGGGCCTGGCAACTCGGGCTCGTCAGGGTCAGCTAATGACCTCTTGCTATTTATTGCCTTAGTTGGGTTGGGGGTCCACTCTTCATGAACCACTTTTGTCCTGTCTTTTCTGGGCCAGAGATTGGGCTCTTGGCAGCAAAGACAGAAGCCAAATCAGCTTCATATTTTATTACTGATGGCCCCCCTACCCAAAGCCAAGACACTTTAACATCTTTGATGCCCCCTCTCATGGCCAGTAGCTGAAACAAGCAATCAGAGAAAGACCCCAGCAAAATGCCCTGCACTGACAACATGTGGTGGGGGCTGTGGGTGGGAAGAGGAGGGCAGGAAGGGTCAGATATGATGTGCTTCTGTGAGGGCACTTAGGTGGTACCATTCTGCACAGAGCCCTGGGCAAGGCCTCTGGAAGCTCCAAGTTCAGATTCAGCCTCAGGCACTTACTAGCTGGGTGATCTTTGACAAATCACTTTGCCTTTATTTGCCTCAGTTTTCTCATCTATAAAATGGGGATAATAACAGCACCTACCTTGCAAGGCTGTTGGGAGGATCCAGTGAGATAATTTTTAGAAAGTGCTTAGCACAGTGCCTGGCACATAGTGGTAACTTAATAATGCTTGTTTCCTTCCTTCTGTTGTGAATGACCCTCAGGCTCCCATTACCCTTGCTCAGGGGAGGACAGAGGGAAAGCCCAGGAGGAGACAAGGATAGGCAAGAGAATGATGGCTTGGACTCATAGTCTCACTCAGTCCACCACGCAGCCCTCAGGGTTCTCATCCTCTCATCCCCTTCTCCTTTCTTCCTCTTCATACCTGCATGTTCGAGCTTGTGGTATCTTCTGAGTCAGAAATCCATGAACGGAGGCTTTTCTGAGTGTCACTATTCAGCGTATCATACTCTTGGCTTAAAGTCTGTTGAGGGAAGATGAAAAACAGGAGCATTTGTCCACTACCCCGATGTGCTCCACACACAGCCTGTCCAATTATAAACATGAGATTGGATGATTGTGCCCCCTTGTCCCCTTCCCTTCCCTTCCTTGCTGACTATCTATTCACTTCCACCTGCACCTCCATCCCAGCTCTCTATCCCTCCACCCCTATCCTCAATTCCTCCTGGACCTAGATTCACTGGCAAGGGGGCGGGGCACAAAATAGGATGTCCAGAACCGAAAGTCAAAGAAAGCTTCCTGTGGCCTTGAGCACCCGGCTCCCTGCCCCTCTGTGCCCCTAAGCATGGGTCCTTTCTTCTCCTATTGCAAGGTGCCAAGAGTCAAATGCATGTCCAACAGTGCCCTATGAGAGACAGCAGCCCTGACGGCACTGGACAGCGGTCTGCTCTGTGGTCAGGAGACTTCAGATCTAACCTTCAGCTTCTGACATGAGTGAAATTCCGGGGAGGGGGAAAGACAAGTGGAAGGGGCGGCCCCTGGCCCTGCTGGCAGCCTGCTCTGCCCTGTGTCCCCTCCGCCTTCCCTCACAATACCTCTGGCTCCCTTCGAAGTCGGGTGGTGTGTTCTCTGCTCACCCTGATTATGACGACCTGCTGTCCCTGCTCCCACAACAGGCACACATACAAATAAATACTCAAGCTGCGGAAGGGATCAAGGAGTAATGCTCCCTCCACAACACTCAGGCCAAGGCAGCGTCTATATGACGAGAAACACCACATCGAACAGCGCCTTAGCGAGTGAATCGGGTTGACTGCACGCCTCATCTGAAAGATTGGGCAGAAATCGGTCATTGCGAAGGCCAGACGCCCTGCCCCGTCCCAGTCAGACCCAGAGGCAGTCTCCTCCGGCAGGCTGAGGTTGAGTCAGACCCGGCATCGTCTCCAGGGGGCCCGCCTAGGACCCAGGCCCTGCGGACTGGAGGGGGAGCAGGGAACCTCCGCTCCTACTTCTCCCCTAAGAACCTGTCCGGGCAGCCGGGCCCGCGCCCAGCCCTTTCCTCCTGCGCTGGCGGCCTCCCGCCCCCTGCCTGATGTCTTCACACCTGACCCGCTGCGGCCGCACGGGTCGGCTCACCTGGGCATTCTGGCGAGAGCTCATTCTCTCGATATCCCGCACGGTCTTCCTGTCGGAGTCACTGTGTTCTCTGGGAACTTTCATGGCGCCTTCCCTCTTAATGTGGAAAAAACAAAAGACAATAGCGGTCTGTCTTGACTTGAGGTCGTCAAGCTGAAATAAAAGGACAATCACCGGCAAAAAAAAGGAGCCGCTGGTGTTCCGTTCTCAGGTCGACTCGCTGCTTGTGGGATGCCGCTTTACTGTAGAGCTCCGAGGACCTTCGGGGTCTCCTGAACAGAGGAGGAGGCTGGGGCCAGAGACGCTGAATAACGGGCACAGGGTCCCAGCACTACTGTCTAACGTTTGCAAAGCACTTCACCAATATGGGCTCGTATGTCCTCATGACAGCTCTGCTATTTTTACCCCCATTTTATCAACGAGGAAACCGAGGCAGACAGAGGTGAAGTGAAGGGTCAAATAGCCAGCAAACATCAGAGCGAGGATTTCAACTTAGTAGCTAATAATAATAGCTCACATTTATAACTCCTGCTATGTATTGGCACTATGCTCAGGGCTTTACAATTATTTTCTTTTTGGATCCTTACAACAACTTGGGAGGTACGTGCTGTTATTGTCCCCATTTTACAACCGAGGAAACTCAGGCAGACAGTGGGTAAGTGCCTTGCTCCAGGTCACACAGCTAGTAAGTGTCTGAGGCCAGATTTAAATTCAGGGCTTCCTGCCTCTAGGCCAGCAGTGGGGAACCTGTGGCCTCCCTGTGGTCTCAAGGCTGCACGTGGCCCTGTTCATCCTCAAGAATGGTTCTGTGAAGTTTGGGTTTAGTCAAAGGGCTGCACTTGAGAACCTAGAGGGCTACATGCGGCCTCAAAGCCTCAGCTTCCCCACCTCTGATCTAGATGGTCTTCACCCTCTAGTCTTCATTCCATCTCATTTTTTTCTTCTATAGCCAGAAGTATATTTTTACTGTATTCATTTTTCTCTTCACTTAAAAAGGAGAAGAGAGACTTCCGCTTCTGGGAGCCAAGATGGCGGAGTGAAAAGTTAGTCACTCTCACTCTCCCCTATCAACCTCTCAAAACCCAGAAAATATCACCCCAGAAAAAAAAAAAAAACCAAACCCTGGAACACCTGAACTAGAAGAAAGGCAAGGAGCAGCAGTGCAGCAGCCCAGAAAATGGATCTCCCAGTGCCTCAGCAAAAATAAGGGAGGCAGAACTACAAGGGGCCCCAGGCAGATAAGTACCCTGAGGCATTCATCTGAAAGGAGGTGAAGAAAACAAGCTAAAGGCTTGCTAAAGCCCCGGCCTTGCTGATTCCAACCCAACACCAGGTGAGCTATCAGAGCCCTGCAGCCTCCAATTGTGAAGAAATTGTGAAGCCCAGGTGGTAGAATGGGCAAACGCCAACACCTGGACCTCCAAGTGCCTCAGTGAGGGTGGGGGGGAACCGGTGGAAACCAGCTCAGAAAACCACCAGGTGCCTCAGCACTCCACTGCAAAGGAATCTCCCAGTGCATTAGCAGAAAAAGGGAGACAACACTGCAGGGGCCCCAGGCAGATAAACACCCTGCAGCACCCATCTAAAAGGAGCTGAAGAAAGCTAAAGGAAAGGAAAAGCAGGCAACCTAGAATTGCCTGAAAGTTCCAGCCTTGCTGATTCCAGCCCAACGAGGTAAGCTGCCAGAAACCTACAGCCTCCAATTGCCAGCATAAGAGGCCCCAGCACACAAAGCCAGTGACCAAGACCTAGGCTCCCAACACAAGAAGCTTGGGTCAGTACCCTCTGTTCCCCAGCAGGAGAGCTCAATCTCTTTAAAGGCCAGGGAATAAAGAAACACCATGAGTAAAAAGAAACGTACCATAGACTCATATTACGAGAAAAGTGAAGATCAAGACAGAAATTCTGAAGAGGACAACATTGTCAACAAACCCACATCTGCAACAACAAAAGGGAATATGAACTGGTCTGAAGCCCAAAAAGCCTTCTTAGAAGAGCTCAAGAAGGATTTTAATAGTCAAATGAGAGAGGTAGAAGAGTCCTTCAAAAATACAATTGGCCAATTGGAAAAAAAATACACTGAAGAAAACAAGTCCCTAAAAAACACAATAGGCCAACTGAAGAAGGAAGTACAAAAACTAACAGAAGAAAACAATCTGTTAAAAACTAGAATTGGACAAATGGAAACTAATGTCTCTATGAGAGAGCAAGAATCAGTCAAACAGAAAAAAAAAATGAAAAAATAGATGAAAATAAAATACCTCATCAGTAAAACAACCGACCTGGAAAATCGACTCAGGAGAGACAATTTAAAAATTATTGGACTACCTGAAAATCATGATGAAAAAAAGAGCCTGGACAGTATCTTTCAGGAAATCATAAAGGAAAACTGCCCTGAAGTCCTAGAACCAGAAGGGAAAATAACCATAGAAAGAATCCACCATCACCACCTGAAAGAGATCCCAAATTGACGACACCAAGGAATATAATAGCAAAATTCCAAAATTACCAGATGAAAGAGAGAAGGTGCTGCAAGCAGCCAGAAAGAAACAATTTAAATATCATGGAACCACAGTCAGGATTACACAGGACCTTGCAGCTTCTACATTAAAAGACGCAGGGCATGGAACATGATATTCCATAAGGCAAAGGAGCTTGGAATGCAGCCAAGGATCAATTACCCAGCAAAAATGAGCATCATTTTTCAAGGGAGGAGTGGATATTCAATGAAATAGGAGACTTCCAAACTTTCCTGATAAAAAGACCAGAGCTCAACAAAAAATTTGATCTTCAAGTACAGGACTCAAGAAGGACTTAAAAAGGTAAATGGTACAAGAAGATACAATATGTTGTTAATGGAGGGGGGCTGTTTAAACCCCTACAAGGGAATATGAGACTTGCAACCCTTGAGAACTGTATTGTTATTACAATATGTTAAAGGAGTATACATAAAGAGGGTGGATATTAGTTGACTTTGATGTAATGATAAAAAAAAATCTAATCAAGTGGGTTAAATGGATCCAAATAAGTGGATCAATCTGATCTTAGAAAATGTACTGAGAAAGGAGGAGGCAGACAAGGGTAAATTACATTACAGGAAAAGACACAAAATCCTATTACAGCAGAGGGAAAGAAGGGGGGGGAGCATTGTTTGAACCTTACTCTCATCAGATTTGGCTCAAGAAGGGCATAACATAATCAGTTAGGTATAGAAATCTAACTTGCCCTATAGGCAGTAGGAGGGAAAAGGGGAAAGAAAAAGGGGGAAAAAAAGGGAGGGGGGAAAGAAGGGAGGGAAGAAGCAGTAAGAGTAAAGGGGAAGAAAAGGGAAAGGGATAATAAAAAGGGGGAGGAACTGAAGGAGGCAGTGGTCAAAAGCAAAACACTAGTGAAGGGGAAAGGAAAAAGGAGAAAGAAAAGCATAAATGGGGGAAAAAGGATGGAGAAAAAGACACAGATAGTAATCATAACTGTGAATGTGAATGGGATGAACTCTCCCATAAAACAGAAAAGATTGCAGAATGGATTAAAAACCATAATCCTACAATATGTTGTTTACAGGAAACACATTTGAAAAAGAGTGACACATACAGGGTAAAGGTAAAAGGCTGGAGCAGAATATATTATGCTTCAGCTGAAGTAAAAAAAGCAGGGGTAGCAATCCTGATCTCAGACAAAGCAAAAGCAAAAATAGATCTAATCAAAAGAGATAAGGAAGGAAACTACATCCTGCTAAAAGGCACCATAGACAATGAAGTAATATCATTACTAAACATATATGCACCAAATGGTATAGCATCCAAATTCTTACAGGAGAAGTTCAGGGAGTTACAGGAAGAAATAGACAGCAAAACTATACTAGTGGGGGACCTGAACCTCCCCCTCTCTGCACTAGATAAGTCTAACCACAAAATAAACAAGAAAGAAGTTAAGGAGGTGAATAGAACATTAGAAAAGTTAGGTATGATAGACCTCTGGAGAAAACTGAATGGGGATAGAAAGGAATATACATTTTTCTCAGCAGTACATGGCACATACACAAAAATTGACCATGTACTAGGGCATAAAAACCTCACAATCCAATGCAGAAAGGCAGAAATATTAAATGCATCCTTTTCAGATCATGATGCAATAAAAATTATATGTAATAAAGGGCCATGGAAAGATAGACTAAAAAATAATTGGAAACTAAATAATCTAATCCTAAAAAATGATTGGGTCAAACAACAAATCATAGAAACAATCAATAATTTCATTCAAGAGAATGACAATAATGAGACAACATACCAAAACTATGGGATGCAGAAAGCAGTTCTTAGGGGAAGTTTTATATCTCTAAATGCTTACATAAATAAAATAGAAAAAGAGGAGATTAATGAATTGGGCATACAACTAAAAAAACTAGAAAAAGAACAATTAAAAATCCTCAACTAAACACCAAATTAGAAATATTGAAAACCAAAGGAAAAATTAATAAAATTGAAATTAAGAAAACTATTGAACTAATAAATAAAACTAAGAGCTGGTTTTATGAAAAAACCAATAAAATAGATAAACCTTTGGTTAATTTAATTAAAAAAAAGAAAGAAGAAAACCAAATTACTAGTATCAAGAATGAAAAGGGTGAAGCTACCACCAAGGAAGAGGAAATTAAAACAATAATTAGGAATTATTTTGCCCAACTATATGCCAACAAATTTGACAATCTTAGTGAAATGGATACATATTTACAAAAATATAAATTGCCCAGATTAACCGAAGAGGAAGTAAAATACTTAAATAACCCCATCTCAGAAAAAGAAATTGAACAAGCCATTGATGAACTCCCTAGGAAAAAATCTCCAGGGCCAGATGGATTTACATGAATTCTATCAAACATTTAAAGAACAATTAATTCCAATACTATATAGACTATTTGGGAAAATAGGTGAAGAAGGAGTCTTACCAAATTCTTTTTATGATACAAATATGGTGTTGATACCTAAACCAGGAAGAGTCAAAATAGAGAAAGAAAATTATAGACCAATTTCTCTAATGAATATAGATGCAAAAATTTTAAACAAAATACTAGCAAATAGATTGCAGCAACTTATCAC